CATGCATATTTTAACATTTTAGTGCATATATTTATGCATATTTAAGATTTTTTTAGCGCATATTCGATTGATTTTTAATGCATATAAATCCGCGCTCTAATAATTATCATCCGATGACTATTTTGCGAATTCATTTAGTTAGTGAAAATCTAAACAACAACACGATCAATGTATAACACTTCACGCTCATAATAAATATTGGGTCTAACTAATCGTTAAACAAGTATTTAAATTGGCCTATATAAAAGAAAGCATTGATTATTTTTTAATTTATTAGAAAAATATACAATCTGTAAACATAAATTACAATAAGCACATCAGCGATAACATACATTGGGAGTGAATGCTTGAGGAGAGTAACACTAAATTGATTCGATTTAAGCTGAAATAATGTGAGAGCACATTTTGCGTAAACACTATAAGCGCATTTGTTTGATTTCTTAAAAATGTATTTTTTCCTTTTCTATTGATTTAAATAGACAATGAATAACTCAGCACATTCGTGTACAACTATTGCTAAAGGACGAGCTGATGACTGTTTTRTTTAAATAATTTATTTTGTTTGTTGTTTTTTTTTTTTTTTTGCAATTAACTATACCTATTGTAATAAAATTATTATAAGCTGAAATAATGTTYAATGAATTTATATCAGGTCTATTGATAGCTATTTGTAATGCGCACTTGTTAAACCGATTGAAGAGTTTGCTGTTTGGAACCAACGTGTGCAAAAGAATTAAAATTGAAATGGTTTAAATTTTGCTGTTTTATTATTTGTTGAAAATTGACCACGAACAATATTGGCTGGTATTGAAATATAAAATAAATTTCGTAAACCTTTACCGATAATGTGAATTATTATTGTGAACTAAAGACTACTATTATAGTATTATTTTAGGTATAATACATGTTCCTACAATCCTATACGGTATAGCTCATCGATGGACCTGCAGTCTACTGCCATGCGATACTTGACCAAGTTAGATTTAAGACTCCTTATTTYCATCGACGATATTCCTATATTTTCTGCAATTTATATAGAGCGTTTGAGCGTAGATACCTCTATAAGTCTATAACTATAATATCCTCGTAACCGTGACCAATATTTATAGGATGACTCGCATTTCCAACTATAAGGTCCATTATTTAGATTTAATTACTATTTACTATGCATTTTATGTAAATCTATTAAAGTTTGCGTATTTGTTCATTGTACCAATAACGTATTTAATTTGTAAATTATATGTATATCAGCCACAGCCCATTTCTTTAAATAAATCATCGAAACTACACTTCTCTACATTAAAATTTGATGCGGTGCCATTATAATATGAAAACTAGCTATTATACTGTGCTGGTGTTTTGAAGTAAACTCGCATCTATTCTTGGAAAAAAAACATAATCTAATAACTGACTGTCGCAAATATCATGCAAAAATAAACAAAATAGRCATAGTGGAAAAATYAAAATAAAGTTTACTTTGTTCATTGTTGTGATCTAAACGACAAACGCAAAACGCATTCATGGTAGCTATAATATTGTCTTGGTGACCGAAAGAGCACGATATATTGCTCGAAAACCKAGAGCTGTTAATTATAATTTATAATATTAACACGRCAACACGCAATAAATATAAGCTTGGGTGGCTACGTTTCCGCATATTTATACATACGACTGTAATGACAACGTACCTAGGCATACATAATAATATATTTATTATTTAATATTATTACAG